GCGGCCACTGCCTCTTGGGGCGTGCACTCCGAGACCGGCTTGCCCTAGGGCATCATGGGAGGGGTAGTCCAGGCACGCCCCCGTTCCCAAAGCCTCATGGGTAGTGTCGTTTGGAGGCACTGGCCAGAGTCCAATGCCTCATGGGAGTTGTAGTCCTGAGAGGTTTAACCTCCTGGCTCTTTGATCTGGTGAGCGCAGCAGCCTCATTGCTGCAGCCCCAGGGGCCCTGTGCTGCTGGGCAGACAGGGCCATTGTGCCAGCTTGAGGGAGCTACACCCACTGTCCTGGGCAGGATCCAGCCCAGCCAGTGTCCCCCACTGCTGTGCCAGCTCCGCTCCTCCATCAAACTGCAGCTGAAGTGCACCAAGACCAGCTGGTGGTGGGCAGGGTCCACATGTGGAGGCGCAGCCGAGCAGCCAGCTGGGGACGCTGGACACTTCTGCTGTAGTCCTGAGAGGTGAAAGATAGGGATGTAAGAGTGTAGCTGTTTCATCGGGTATTTGGCCACACGGTTACAGGTGTCCCATGATGCTGCCTCTGTACCGGCGGTTACAGAGTTAGCCAATTACATGCATTTTAACATTCCTAGCGAAAGAGGAACCTGAATGGGCCTGGCTGAAGAAGAAACTCTGGCTACAATAAGTAGAGAAGAGGTCCTTTTGGAAATGTGGTTTTCCCTCTGCTTCTCACCAGGACCAGCCCTTCCACCTTCAGCACCAGCATTTTATTTTATTTATTGTATTAAACAAAATGTCTAAGCCTCCACTAACCTAGAAACCCAGTGGCTGAAAGCCCAATGCCAGTCACCCCAACCACTGGGAAGGGCTCACTTAAAACCCCTCTAATTACTCTCTTAGGTAGTCATAACATATGAACACCTCGGCTGTGTCTAGACTGGCAAGTTTTTCCGCAAAAGCAGCTACTTGCCAGAGGATGTTGTAAAGACTAGGACATTAACAGGGTTAATAAAGGAACTAGATAAATTCATGGAGGTTAGGTCTATCAATAGCTATTAGTCAGGATGGGTAGGAATGGTGTCCCTAGCCTCTGTTTGTCAGAGGCTGGAAATGGATGACAGGGGAGGGATCACTTGATAATTACTTGTTCTGTTCACTCCCTCTGGGGCATCTGGCATTGGCCACTGTTGGAAAACAGGATATTGGGCTAGATGGACCTTAGGACTGACCCAGTATGGCCATTCTTGTGTTCATGGACAACTTAACTGCCCTGCTTTCTACTCCTGAATGCTGGCCCTAACTTTTATATGAAAAACAAAAACAAAATAGTGTTGTGGACCATGGAGTTTTTATACATTGTTGGGCAGAGCCACAGAAAGGAAAAATTTGAGAGTCTCATACCTACTGAACCAGTTACTGTAGATAACTTGGTAGATCCTCAGTATATCAGGGCCATGTGCACTGTCATTAATTTTATAAAGCCTGCCTCTCCCATACGTTTTAAATAAACATATTAAAGAATCGAGTTATTGCACATCTTTTTGTTATGTTTTAATGTAAAACTTGCTGCTTAAAACTGTACATCTTTTGTACCATGAATCCTCTTTACCGATCCCAGGCCATTCTTTAGGCAGAGTTGAAAACAACAAATAAGTGGATAAATCTGATGAACAAATACATACAACTCTTCAACATCTTCTCACTAACGATTGGCCTGCACTAGCCATTCATTTGGTGGCAACAAGCAATTACCTTGATTCAGATTTTCATTAAAAACAGAAACAAGCTTTGTTCTTTTTAGCTGATTGTCAGCGCATGGATTTCTCTCCCTTCTCTGTTGACGCGTTTGTGAACATGCATGCACGTGGGCTCAGACAGGAAAAGGTCAGTGTCCCCTACTTCTGTCCTAGGTTTACTAATTAAAGTTCAATGCCAAAATACACATCTATCAACCCAAGTTGTGGAGTGATCCTTCCATTGGTCTGTAACCGCTTGGTATCAGAGGCAGTAGATTCCTCTACCTGGCAATTTTAAACAGAGGGCAGAGTTGTTCTAGATCAGCAGTTTTCAAACTTTTTTTCTCATGACCCATTTGAAGAAAACTGTTGATGCCCACGACCTAACATCATTTGACTACAGTGTGGGCTTCAGGGTGGAGCTGCAGATGAGAGCTTTGGGTTGTTGGAGGGGCTCCAGCTTTGGGGGCATCAAGACTGGGGCAAGAGGGACTTACTCTGAGCAGCTCCCGCTAAGATAGCTTCTTGCTCTCCTGACACTGCAGACCATGCTGCACCCCAGAAAAAGCCAGCAGCAGGTTCCCAGTTAATGGGAGTGCAGAGCTAGTGCTCAGGGCAGGGATAGTGCACGGAGCCCTATGTGCTGTCCTCCCCACACACCTAGGAGCTGGATCTACTGCTGGCTGTTTCCAGGGTGCATTGGAGTCTGCAGTGCCAGGACAGGCAGATAGCTTTTGCACAAAATCTTGCCACCTGTCTACACTGGCTGCGAGTACTTGCGCAAGAACACTGACGTTCTAATGTATAAAATCAGTGCTTCTTGCGCAAATACTCTGACGCTCCCACTCAGGGATAAGCCCTCTTGCACAACTGTTCTTGCGCAAGAGGCCACTGTAGACAGGCAACGTTAATTTCTTGAGAAACAAAGCCTGATGGCTAAAATGGCCATTGGAGCTTTCTTGCGCAAGAGAGTGTCTACACTGGCATGGATGCTTTTGCTCAAAAGCACATCTCTTGCGCAAAGGCACATGCCAGTGTAGATGCTCTCTTGTGCAAATACTTGAACGCAAAAACTCTTGCATTAAAAGTATTAGCGCAAAATCTTGCCAATGTAGATATAGCCTAGGAGTTTAGGTCAAATTTAGCCACATAAGGTTGATTTTCTAAACTATGAGTCCACACTACTAAGCCCGTTCTGTCGGTGCTAAGAACAGCTAAAGTTGATTTTGGTACTCCTGCTTTCCACTAGTGCATTAAGCAACATGACTCACACCTATCCTATGCTTGCTCTCTCATCTCCCAGGGAGAAGTGTGTACAGGAAAGTGTTTTGGAATTTCTTTTAATCACGATCAGTAATTATCTCTTTTAGGGCTGAGCCAATTCAGTCTCCATGGCCAATTCTGTCTAGTTACAAGGGACTGGTCAGTAGTAGCGGCAGCAGCTGGGAGCTCTGGGCCCAAGGGAAATTGCCCACTTTTGCCTCCCTCCCTATGGATGGGCCTGGATGTAAATAGAGATGGGCTTGCTGCTGCTTGGTGAAGGGGCTTGTGGGGAGGAAAAAGAAGAGACCTGCTCCCCAAAGAGCTGTATATTCAGTCCAAGCAAGTAGTCCAGTAAGCCATGGAAGATAGCAAAGAAGTAAATGGCACTTCCAAGCACAGATGAATATCGGAAATGAAGGCACAAAGAATCTCTCTCCAAAATCTAGAATTACACTCCTACTTATTATCTGCAGTGCTAGAGGAGGCGATCTTCCAACAGTGGAGTCAAACCGTCATTAAAAAATAATCAGTATCCAAATAACTTTGATGGATGCCTTGGAGACTCAGCAGCGTTCCCTACTCCCACTCTCAGTCAGCAGTGAGCGATGCTGGCAAAAAGTCCTTCTCGTGACGCTTGGCCCTAGGGGTCGAGAAAGGACACTGCGATGTACCGGGTCCCTTTTGTGGTTGGAAGGCCCTCGTGATAATGAGTCAGGCGTCCCGGGTGCAGGAGGGTCCAACCCTTCCGAGGAGCTCGAATGGAGCAGTTGTAGCGCAGAAACCGGCAGCCTCCTCCCTGCATGAAAGAAAACGAAACAGGCATCGGGCCAATGCCAACAGAAAAAGGATCCCTTGTATTATCTCAATAGTATCCTATTTCCCAGAGTCCCTCAGGATGGGTTGGTGGAACATGCTACCACCAATCTATCTCATGAGCAAATCCTGACATTCAAACCCAGTCATTGATTATGGTCCTTTGGCATCAAGGTGCCAGAGATGGAGGAGGAAGAACTCCAGATGCCTCGAATGAGCTGGGAGGTGCCCCAGGTACAGGAAAGAGAAAAAGACCCTGGTAGAGTTGGCAGCTCTCCCACCTAGACAGACTGGACACCATTTGTAGCAATGGCATCTCGTCAATCTGGTTGGAAGAGTTAGCAACCCTAGATCCCGGTTTGGTCTGGGAGACGCCCAGAACGATCTTGCAAGCACTTACCTCGTAATCTATTCCTACCCGGTTCAGGGCAATGTTGATGGTGAAGGTAGAAGCATCATGGTGAGGCACTAAGGAGGGCTGCTCATCGGGTTTGTAACGAACGACAAAGGCCAGCTCAAATTGTGTCTGTGCAAGAGAAGTGAGACATAAACAGATAGTGTCACAGCACCAAGGGGGCATTCAGTTCTATAGGGTGGTGTGAACATAGATGTAACTGGGGTAAAATACCCCTTAACAAAGGGAGAAGGGTCGTGGTAATTAAGGGACATGTTCTTGTTAGGAAGTATGGTGCACATCTGGATAACATGCTCCAGGGTCATTTTCTCCATTATGGCACATTCTTTGGTACAGGTGGTATCACCTCTCTGTGGCCACAGTCATGCAAGGCGCAAAGCACTCAAATCCCACTGACCAAGAATGTTTGATGCCTACCTGTGTATAGTATCCTGGGTACAATTTCTCTGTGATGGGAGCAATATAGTCCAGGAGGAACCTGTACCATTCTCTCTCAAAGCCAATTTGGTTCATGTGGATGTCAATGGTTGGGACATTTTCATAACCCCCTAGTAGCCTGCTGTCCTGGAACAGAACCATAAAATATATTGGGGACAAATATCTTAGAGCGTAAGCAACGTTCCCTCTAATCTTTTCCATCCATGTGTGATTTTTCCATCTATGTGCAGAATAAATTTTGCTATATGCACTAAGACATGTGCAGATGTGCACCACCAGAAGAAACACAAACCTAGCTGTGAGTGCTCTATTATTCAGCAAGGAAGCACTGGAATGTCTCCTGAGTGGTCGCACAAGCACACAGCTTACAGGGAACACTGATGATAAATACGAAAAAGAGTTTGATGGTAGCCCACAAACATAATGATCATCTATAGGGCTTTTCAGTGTTGTAACACAGGGAAAGATCATTCACATTTTACAGAAGGGAAGAAAAGGCACAGTGGAGGCTTTAGGCCAAGTTTTCCAAAGCGGTTACTGATTCGTGGTTACCCAACTTCCACACCCTCTTGGCCCTAATCCTCAGAAGCGCCGAGCACGACAATGCTCCAGGGAAAGTCAGTGGAGGTTGCAGGTGCTCAGGGCCTGTAAAAAAGAGGCCTAACGGGTCTCAGATTGATTTTCTGAGTTTCCAGTGACCATGTTTGAATATCCAAGATCACACAGTGAGTCAAAAGCAGCATTCAGAACAGAACTCAGGAGTACTGATTACAGTGCTCTGCTTTAACCACAGGATGAAAACTCCCTCCTGTAGCAGGCCACAGCTATCACCAAGGACTCAGTGTAGGTGATGGGAACTGTAGCTTTGGAAGCTATAACTTTTTCTTACCGTGTTACCTCCCTTGGACCACTGGCCAAAGTGCTCCATTTCCTCCACCAACTCATCACAGGCGACGTCAGTGAAAATAGGGAACCAGTACACATCGGGGCAGGGCTGGAGATAGAACACATGAGGATTCAGACAAAAATGAGACTAACAGAGACAAACAAAGGGGGGAAGTTACACGGGGAAAGGGAGTTCTTTCATTTTGCATGACAGAGCATCACACAGATGTTGGTTTCCCTTTTTTAAGGGGATGGGTAAGTCTTTTTTTTTAAGAAAAAAAATCACCAGTGTGTTACATAATTTATGAATGTTCCCTTGCCAGACAAGAAAAAGACAAAGTCAAGTGGAGGGAGAGAGGGCTTATTGAATGAATCCCAAAGATACAGTCGCATTCACTGGAAAAACAGCTAAAACCTGAAGGGTACGTCTAGACTACAGGCTTTTGTCGACAGATACTGTTGACAAAGCCTCTGTCGAAAAAGAGCATCTAGACTACCACCAGTTCTGTTGAAAAAACAAGCCGCTTTTTTGACAGAGAATCTAGACACTCTCTTTTGAAAAAGCACAGTGTGGATGCAACAGCGCCTTTTTTCGACATAACTCTCGAAAAAAGGCGTTATTCCTCGTAGAACGAGGTTTACCGCCTTCGACAAAACGGCCGCGTTCTGTCGACAGAACTCGGCGGTAGCGTAGACGCAGGTATAGTTTGGTTGACAAAAGTCCACTTTTGTTGACAAAACCCTGTAGTCTAGACACACCCTAGAACTCTGAATCCTGCCTTCAGATTCACATGCCTTGCTCCTAGTAAAATTAAGGGACCTGGACAGGTGCCTCTAGGGCAGGGATTTGTCTCTAAGAATACTTTGAAAGAATGACAGATTGAATTCCCTCTGGATTGGGTATTCTTTTAGGCAGCGCTGTCTCCTGTAAGCTACCTATTTCTGAGGGCAACAGGCTGAAATAATGTGATAGTGGCATGTCATCCTCTCCTCTGCTGAGATAAGAGCAGCATTTCTTACCGTCTCCACCAATTTCTCTTTCAGAGCTCGTGTGTAGTTTTCATGGATGTACTTTTCTTTCCAGTCCTGCGGTTAGAAAAAGACAAGCAACATGGTCACTTCTGTGGCACATGGCTAAGGATGTGGTAGCAGGCTGGGCCTTAGCACCACCTTCTCTCTCCTGAGGAAAGGGGAAGTGGAACAGTTAACAGTCACTCAGCAATTTCTCAGCTTTGAAGCTCTGGGGCCCAGATGAGTTTCTGAGTGAAATGTTTTGCCCTCAGCCCTGCAGCGAGGGGGCCAGAGAATCCCATCTGAGGGACGTCACAGAGCAGAGTTTGGATTTTCCCCTCAGACACAGCTAGCAGCGGCATATCTAGAGAGGCCGGGGACCATATAGCACAGCGACAAGGCTGCTCAGCCCTCAGAACCCCTCACCTCAGGGTTGCTGAAGATCTGCCAGAGGTCATTGTGGAGATGAGTCGTCTGATAATTCTCCAGGGAGAGTGTGTGGCCAAAGTGGTGCTGGTTTGTCACAAACATGAACACCCCCTGCAGAATGGAGGGAAACTATCAGGCTGCAATTATCCACTGTGGGAGCTGGTTCCCACTGGCTGTGGCTCCATGCCCACTGCCAACCCACCTCCCTCTCTAATCTTCACACTGGGCACCTCCCTCCCAATGGACCTTTCTTGCTAAATCCAGACTCACCCAGGATGCAGAGAAGTCTAAAGAGCCATCGCGAGGGCCAGCCGTGGAGGCAGAACCTCTGTGTGTTTCATCAGCAGGATAAAATTGCTTACAAAGGCTCACTCTGCCTTTGGCTACGCAGATGTAGCTACTGCTGGAACTGCACAAGTGGATCATACGCTGTCACTGAATGTACTGCCTATTTCTCAGATTCCCACCCAGACTATATGTGCTTCAGGGAAGGCATGTAGGCTTAGTTGATGCCAGTTTATTTCTTTCTACCTAGATATGCACAGTTGTAATAGGTGTCCTGAAATCTGCCTGCAGAGTTCTCCACATTTGCTCCCTGCAGCTGGCTCCCTGTACTGACCTGATCCCGGACATTATGGCAGAAAGCCATGTCTGCATCTAGTTTGCCATGGTGGAAGAGGTCTCTCTGCTTGAGCTGGGATCTCAGAGCACTGCCTTTTACGAGATAGATGCTGGAAACGTAGGGAACATTCCAAACCCCACTGCAAAATGGAGAGAAAAAGATTTAGACACCAAGGCTACATCTAGACTGCAAGCCTCTTTCAAAAGAGGCTTTTTCGAGAGAGACTTTTGAAAAAGCCTCTTTTGAAAAAGAGCGTCTAGACTATAACCAGTACTTTCGAAAAAGCAAGCCCTTTTTTTTTTAAAGAGAGCACCCAGGCAGCCTGGATGCTCTCTTTCGAAAAAGCACAGTTTGCATTACATAGCGCCTTTTTTCGAAAGAGCACTTTTGAAAAAAGGCATTCTTCCTCGTAAAACGAGGTTTTCCGCAGTCGAAAAAACTGCCACATTCTTTCGATTTACTTTCGAAAGAACGCGACGGTAGTCTAGACACAGGGGACGTTTTTTTGAAAAAAGGCCACTTTTCTTTTAAAAACCCTGTAGTCTAGACACACCCCAAGCAGAACCAGAACAAAGTTTACAGGATTGCGCCCCAAAGGACTAAGGGCTAGATTTAATTGTGAACATATTTTGGAAAGAGGGAAGAAAACAAAACATTGCTGTGCTTATGAATTGATTTAGTCACAAAGTTTTAAGGGTCAGACTCAAGCCCCCAAAGCAACCAAACACATTGTTTTATAGCAAACCTAGGGAGGAGCAAATCAGGAATGCAAGCTGTTCCAGTAATCAGCTGTTAGGGTACGTCTAGATTACAGGCTTTTGTCAACAGAAGTTTTGTCGACAGATACTGTCGACAAAGCTTCTGTCGACACAGCGTCTAGACTACATCCAGTTCTGTCGACAAAGCAAGCCGCTTTGTCGACACGACAGGGTAGACGCAAAGGACAGTGTAGATGCAATAACACTTTCTGTTGACAGAACTCTGTCGACAAAAAGTGTTATTCCTCAGAGAATGAGGTTTACAGCTGTCGACAAAACTGCTGAGTTCTGTCAATGTTATGTCGAGAACTCAGCGGCAGTGTAGTTTTGTCGACAAAAGTCCAATTTTATCGACAAAACCCTGTAGTCTAGACACACCCTGAGAGATATCTCCAGTGTCTTCCCCCAAAGCTGCACAGAGACCTTTACAAACGCTAGTTAAAGAAGAATGACAACCCGCCAGTCCCTCACTGCAGGATAGTTCAACATCACATTATCTTTCCTTAGCAGATGGAGGAAACAAAGCCCAAGAATGGATGAAGTGATTTTACCATACAGTGAATTTACCATACAATGATTTAGAAACAAAACTGACTCCAAGTCCCCCACTCTGGTCACAGACCTTACTCCCTCTATTGCATGCCGCATGTAGAGGACAAGTATATAAAATAACTCCTGCCTGAAAGGAGAGCTATTCCTTTCCTCCTTTAAACACACCGATGGTTTAAAAGTCTCAGAAGTGTAACCGCTCATAGGAGCAGGGTCTATCAGCATCGACCAGAGCGCCCGCTCAGTTCGAATTAATGTGTCTTCACCAGACTAGGGATGTAATGGTGTAGTCTATTAAGTGATTAACCAATAAGCAAAAGCTTATAGGTTAATGCTATAGACTACATGCATTCCCCCTCCTCCCACCACATTTTTTAGCAGGCTGGCCAATAGCCAAGCTCAGTTTTGGCTCATGCAGGGTCTGGGTCTTACCTGCTGTGGCTCTGCATTAGAAGTGTATTAGGAGCCAGGCAGGCAGGCAGCCCGGCTCAATTCCGGCTCATGCCAGATCCAGGAGCTCAGCCCCTCCCCTGGCCAGGGGCTGCTGCCACCCTGCACTGCTGCCACTGTATGAAAGGCAGGAGCGCAAGGTGACAAGTAGCCAGTCTGCGACAGGAGCTGGTTTTTAAACTGTCTCCCTTTGCGGACCAGCTCCTGCCTGGCACCCCACGCTGCTGCCTCTGATACAGGGGTGGGGCTGGAGCGCACTGGCTTCCAGCCTCACCCCTAAGGACCATAGAATAGTCAACTAACCAATAAGAATTTACGAGGTTAATCACCTATTTGATTAACCGATATTTAACATCCCTACAGTAGACCTGCTAATTCAAACCCCAGAAGATCAACTGCAGCAGCTTCAATTTTCTCTGTAGTGCAGACATGGCCTTAGAAAAGAAGAAAAAATATTTGTATAGTATTATGAGCTTTTGTGGGCAAAACCCACTTCTCCTGATGAGAGGATCATGAGTGGAAAAGTGGATCTTGTTTTTCCACTCAAGATCATCTCAACTGAACAAGTGGGTTTTGTTCATATGAAAGCTCATGATACTACACACTGACGGTTTGGTACTCTTGATCCCAATTGGCTTTTTTATTCAGCTTTGGGGGCTACATGTTTTCTATCCACTGAGTGTCTATTCAGTGAGCCTTGTATTTAGAGCATTATGACAATACTCACACCCTCCGTCCTTGAACAATATCCACGTAATCCTCTGACCGGGCATAGTACCCATCAGGACTCAGTGCACCCCAGAAATTCGACCACAGCTTTCCTTGCCGGCTCACCAGTGGGGTAATTACCAACCTGCAGGCACAAGAGGGAGAGAAGATCGGAGGGCAGGATGCTGCCAGGGAGAAAAGGGGAAAGATCCCCACAAGAGCCCAAGAGTCCAGTTTTACCTTCACTGACACAGATGCTACCCCCACTGAAACCTGTGTCTTAAAAGTGAGGGCAAACTTGGACCCTAAGCTTGTATCTACACATATCCAGCAGTCAGGCTTTTCTGAATGTGATCTAAGGCGTTCTAACAGGGTTCTTTTTGAAAATGTTTATTTTTGAGGAGAGGGGGTGGGGGAATTATTTCAGTAACATGACTTATGTTTCTCTACTGTGTAACCAGGTCCCTAAGGCCGAAACCTCAGCTAAATCTCCAAGCCAGAGAGGGTAGGTCTACACTACCCCGCTAGTTCGAACTAGGAGGGTAATGTAGGCATACCGCACTTGCAAATGAAGCCCGGGATTTGAATTTCCCGGGCTTCATTTGCATAAGCGGGGCGCCACCATTTTTAAAACCCCGCTCATTCGAACCCCGTGCAGCGCGGCTACACGGGGCACGAACTAGGTAGTTCGAACTAGGCTTCCTAGTTTGAACTACCGTTACTCCTCGTGGAATGAGGAAACTCCCTGGGTCAGATGCTCAGCTGTTGAAAGTTTGTGTAGCATCAGGGAAATCAATGGAGCTATGGCAATTTACACCAGTCAAGGATTCTTGGATCTTACACTCACCTTTAGGGAGGGGGAAAAAAGAACACGGACTGAAACCTGGATATAGATCCAGATTTCCCAATGAATCCCTCCCTTTATAATGGGCTGAACCAAAACCTACAGCTGAATGTACTTCCTGGGATGTCTGAAAGGTAAATCCAAATCCAGACCTCAACTATGTCTGATTTGGAAAAAAATTATTCTGATTCTGGCCTTTCTGTTCCTAATAATGTAAGTTTTGCTCCTAAGAGATGAGTAAAACTAGGGATAGATTCCATCTAGGACCTATTGCATTTGAATCCAATAATTCAGGGAGAGGATAGAAAGTGTTGGATAAATGGCTCCGGTTTAGGTCCACCTCTACTAGAGAAAAATCTTAAGTTTCATTTCTGGCAACGTTCTCTCTTCTCAGCCCCTTATACATTTCCCAGGAAAGAAGCAGCCCCCTATCTTTGTTCCTGACCTGAAACCTGCCGAGTAAAGGTTGCTCAGACTCACTTGTTTTGTTCAATCAGGCTCCGCAAAACCTTCGAGTTGTTCAGAACCACTTCGGCGTCCAGGCTGAAGTAGTATTCACAGTCAGGATCCTGTCTGCACAAATCCCTGCAGCCAGAGAGCCCACAGGTCAGAGAAAGAACAGAAACAGGGCAGCAGGGATGACCTTTGCTTTGTGGTCGGGAATGGGGGAGGGGGGGTTTCTTGTGGGATGCGGGTGTTTATTCTTTACAGCTTGGGTGCAGAGAGGGAAGAGAGGGTTAAAACCCCATGCCACGGCAAAGGAGTAGCAAGTGGCTGGTTCCTCATGGCATGGAGGAATGGGGCCTAACCCAGGGGATGATGTTGTCTCCATCAGGAAGGTGCACAAGGAGGGAATGAGCAAAGGGAGCCATTGCTTTGGAAATTGAGAGCTGACTGCACCTGAGGCTAGAGAATCTCAAAGACCTCTGGAAGAAGAGGCCTTATTGTTTCTGTTTGGACCCAGCCCTTGGACGGCTGTTTACTTTTCCTAGCCTGGTGTTAGCCTGTGTCACTTGGACATACGCATGGGCTAAGTCCATGCCTGCCACGGACAGGTCACAGGCTAGTGGCAGGAAGACGGGAAACAAGGGTGCAACATGGACAGAGATTGTTCTGAAGGACAGAGGTTGTTCCTGGCAGAGGATCTGAGCACGCCTTTGGCAACGAGGGCATCCAAGTGTGTTCTTAATGCCACTACTCCACATAAGTTGCGTCTAACAAGCATGAATAAGGGGAAACGGAAGGGGAGTGGTTTTGGGTGATGAACAATGAACCAGCCATTGTTCTTACACAGCTCCAAAGTAGACATCTACAAAGGAAGCTTTTACTGCTCTGCTCACAGAGGTCTGTTATGTTGGACACAACAAACCTATTCCTCGTGCTCCTGGGCCTAGACAGAGAGTGGGGTGGTCTCCAGTATCCCTAGAACTTGGCCTCTCTCAACGGCCATTTCACTTACATGCCCATGTTCCGTGCATCAGCGTTCTCCACATGATTTTCTGGCCCAATCACTTTGACCGTGTGATATTCTTTGCCATGCTCCTTCACAAACGTGTCCACCCGGGACAGGTGATGTTGCTCCTGCACAAAACAGGATATGACAGAGTGAAGAGAAGTTGTATGAGCTGCACACAGACTGCCTGGACTCAGCTAAGGCTAGACTCGCCAGCCGCCCCACTCCGGAAACGCCACAGCTGGTGAATTGCACCTAGCCTCAATGCCATGTCTTTATGGCTGATGGTAATTGATGCAAAGGCTTCTAGGAAAACAAAACATGAGTTGTACCCGACTTCCAGATTCTGGCCATATGAGGAAGTCGCAAAGACTTCTGGGATCTGGGACGAGGCAAAGCCATCATTCACATAATAAAACCTGAGGAAGTCGCAAAGACTCCAGGGATCTGGGATGAGGCAAAGCCATCATTCACATAATAAAACAAAGAGACAAAGCGGGCAAGGTTCTATCTGTTATGGTTGGTCTAACAAAAGTCAGGACCTCACCCATCTTGTGTCTCTAGTATCCTGGAACCAACACGGCTATAACAACACTGCATACAACAATCCAAGGCAGATGGGACTCACATGATTGTGAATGAAGAGCTGCGTGCGCTTCTTTGGGTACTGGAGGTTCTGAAGCCGCAGGAAGAACTGGGAGAGAAACGGAGTGGGCTGCTCAATGAAAATTCCAATCAGAACCAATGGCAATGCATCGTCCTGCGGGCAACAAGAGGGTGAGATGCATGAGGGCAGCTCTCCAGCTCCAGAAACATGGCTATTCTCACACCATCTCCAGGGTAACCCAAGAACACGATGGAGGAGGAGTTCTCTTGTCAGCACCAGGCCTCTGCCACTCTAAGTAGGCCTCAGCCCTTACCTTGAACCCTGTGAGACTTCTCAGGCCTTCATCACACACAGTGCAGCCCGTCTCAAATGTCCAGACCCGAGGAATATAGTTTCCCAGGTAGTTCAGCTGCAGCTGCAAAGGGAAATCCCTCACGTGCTTAGTTACAAGGCAGGAGAACCTCACCCCACCTCCTGTTATTCAGTCAGGTTCCATCACCAGCTCACCTCCCGTCTCTCCCTGGGAGAAGGGGTTGGAAAAGGAGACAAGCCCGAGTGCTAATTTTACCCCCGGTGGAGGATACTGATGTGCTAGGACAGTGGTCCCCAACCATTTGGGGTTGCCGGGCGCCAGGGGGCATGGCCGTTCGCCTGCCGGGCGCCCAGGGGGCGGGGCCCCCCCAAACGGCCCCCCCCATAGCCGCATTCCCGGGGCTGGGGCTGGGGCCGGCGCTCTCTCCCTCCCTCCCCCATGCGCCGCGGGGGGGTCAATCCGTGGTGCCCCCGGGGCCAGCGCTCACCGTGCGCCACGCGCCCGGGGCCGGCTCCGCGCATGCGCCATGTGCCCAGGCCAGCCCTGAGCACTTGGCGGGCGCAGACAAATGCCCCCGCGGGCACCATGGCGCCCACGGGCACCGTGTTGGGGACCACGGTGCTAGGATAATGTGTTAGGGTGACAGCTCGGCCAGTCTTTGGCACAACTTGGCCAGTCTTTGGTATCAGGGTGTTGAGACTGGCAAGAAGGGGTCTAATGGTGGCCAGTATTGTGATGTGGATAGCTGGCCACTAGGAACTGGACTGATTCCACCCTGGCCAGTCCTTTCTCAGGCAGGGATGCTGTCAGTCACTGCAGAACTCCGCCTTGATTTGCCCCCGTGGCTGAGAAATAAAGAGCGCTGTCTTGTCGCCATGGCAATGGGCCATCCACTCCCATCCCCCCACACTTATGAATTTATGCGGATTTCCCAGCATTCCCTAGACAGCCGCTTCAAGTCTGTAGAGGCTATTTGTCGTGGTTTCATGCCCAACCTTCCCTTTCAAGGCTCCTGCTTACCTTGGTGGGTCCGTTGCCATGAATCAGGACTGGGAGGGTGTCATACATGACATTCCTTGCTCTCACACGTGCATTTTCAAACTTCAGAACCACCTCATCTAGGAATCACAGCACAGCAATGTTATCTGCAGGATGCTTTGGCAGCAATTTGGCAACACAATGCCGCAGCCCTGGGAAGACGGGGGAGTGGGACTAAAAAAAACAAACTACTAGTATTTGTGAGGCACAGACCATCCACAGAGGGAGAGGAACTGTTTATGGTGGCCCAGAGGAGTACATAAGAATGGCCATACGGGGTCAGACCAAAGGTCCCTCTAGCCCTGTATCCTGTCTGCCAACAGTGGCCTATGCCAGATGCCCCACAGGGAGGGAACACAACAGATAATCATCATGTGAACCCTCTCTGTCTTCCATTTCCAGACAAACAGAGGCTAGGGACAGTATTCTGACCCAGCCTGGCTAATAGCCATTGATAGACCTAACCTCCATTAATTTATCTAGCTCTTTTTTGAACCGTGTAAAAATCCGAGTCTTCCCAACATCCTCTGGCAAGGAGTTCCAAAGGTTGTGTGTGTGCTGTATGAAGAAAAACTTTCTTTTGTTTGTTTTAAACCTGCTATCTATTAATTTCATTTGGTGACCCCTGGTTCTTATATTATAGGAACAAGTAAATAACTTTTCCTTATTCACTTTTTCCACATCAGTCATGATTTTATAGACCTCTAGCATATCCCTCCTAGTCTCCTCTTTTCTAAGCTGTTAAAGTCCAAGTCTTTTTAATCTCTCTTCATATGGACCCGTTCCACCCTAATCATTTTTGTTGCCCTTCTCTGAACCTCTTCCACTGCCAATCTGTCTTTTTTGAGATGAGGCCGCCACATCTGTACGCAGTATTCAAGATGTGGGCGTATCATGGTTTTATGTAGAGGCAATAAGATATTCTCTGTCTTATTCTCTATCCCTTTTTTAATGATCTCTAACATTCTGTTTGCCTTTTTGACTGTTGCTGCACACTGAGTGGATGTTTTCTGAGAACTATCTCCACAATGACGGCAAGAATTCGGGTAGCTTTGGAGGGATGAGATGGACCTTAAGAAAGGATCAGTGAAGGGCTGGAGAGACATCTAACAAACTGTAGGGAAGTCTCCCAAGGGGAGCTGGTAACGCCTCACTGACTGCACCCTTTAAAACCAGAATAGCAAAGACTGTGATGAGGAACAATTCTGCACCAGCAAGAGGGGGGGGAGGATCCAGTCAAAAGCAGCTTTTCTACCTCTGAATTCTGCGCTCCCCTACACCTGTCTGTCTGGCACACCCCAGAGAGCATTACACAGTGACTGCAGAGCAGGCATGCTGACAGCAGGGGGGAAAGGGTCAATTGCACAGGGGCCTAGTGTTTCAAAGGGGCCCGGAGCTCCTGGCTGTGCACCAGCAAGAGGGGGGGGAGGATCCAGTCAAAAGCAGCTTTTCTACCTCTGAATTCTGCGCTCCCCTACACCTGTCTGTCTGGCACACCCCAGAGAGCATTACACAGTGACTGCAGAGCAGGCATGCTGACAGCAGGGGGGAAAGGGTCAATTGCACAGGGGCCTAGTGTTTCAAAGGGGCCCGGAGCTCCTGGCTGTGGCATCAGTCCCGCCCCTTCCACCCTCAGCTCTGCCCCTTGCAGGGAGGGGAGTCGAACCCCCCCAACTCCTTTCCTCCAGGCCTGCACTGTCTGTCAGCCCCGCTGCTGCAGACTGACCAGCCAAAGGGTCCGTGTAACTCAGCCATGCAAAAAAGGGCTAGTTCAGGCCCAAAATCCTAACACCCACTGTAGTGAGAGCCCTCACCCCTGCAATCCCCCCTGGTGGCCCACTGCAGTGTTGCCATTGTATCTCTGCCTCGCTTTCCCCAAATGAGGGTTTTAATAAGTCCACTGAGGCTTGTATCGTGAGCAGTGCCCCTTTGGAAGTCTAGCTTGTTCTCTCCCCACGGCAGAACACTGCACAAAAATGCAGCCCCCCTGGCTGGAAGAAGGAGGGTCTGAGTTAACTTTAATCTGTCACCACCCAGTGATGTCCAAAGCCCCTTACCACGAGGCCTTCATGACCTGCAGCCCAGTTCTGGAGTCATGGGAGTTCTGGCTGTAGCAGACAAAGAGTCCCTTTTCCTGTGTCAAGGTCTCCACAGAGGCCAAACCACAAAGACCCTTCCTCAGGACACGATTCCTCTAATCGAGGTTCCTGCTTTTGCCTGGTAGAATCGCCTCAAAGCCAGGCTTCTCTGAGATCTACCAGTCACAGGTCGCTCTCCCATCAGCAGCATTCGCTGTGGATGTCCTTGGCTGGTGAGTCCCTCTCATGAGGTTCCCCCCAAGAATCCTTCCCTTCCCAAGGGATCCTGTTCATTCAGCCCTGCCTCAATGGGAGGGAGATACTTCACTGGCTTACCTAGGTCCCAGCTAAACCTGAGCTGCCCCAGTCCCCCCTCAGACGCAGGCTGGACTCCTGATCCTTAGAGGACCAGCCACCTTTAGATTCCCACCGTTACCCAGATAAGAATGGGACCCCCAACCCGCACGATGATAATTGCCTAACTAATTAAAATAAGCAGGAGAAGATAAACTAAAACAAATACAAATATTTCTCCACCCTGGGAAAACAAGGGGATACAACTTTCCAAAGTTGGATAACCGACTGGCCAAAAGCATGGTATGAATGAGTGAGTCCCCGCGCCTGGCGTCCAAATGGGTCTCCTCGGCCCCCCACCCCACATTTCCCACCATTGAACTGAATGTTCTTTGATTGAGCAAGTGGCCCCTGGCCCTGCCCAGGCTCCAGGTGGGTTGTGTGTTGCTACCTCCCTACCAGTTTTCACGCCCCCACGCTAGTGTAATTTGATAGGCACGGAGATCAAAGGGAGAGAAGGTGTGGCAGGAAAATCCCCACCTGCAGTCCTAAGTGTGGAGCTTGGCAGTAAAAACTAGGCTGGGACCCTATGGGGATTGTATATCAATTCCAGGGGTCTGGGAAGAGGCTTTTCACAGAAAAATACTTTGGGGATGGATTCTGGAATTTAACCACGACAGCTGCAGCAGGATGTTATTTCTAGCTGCTTTTGCCCTCTCCCCATCTCACCTAATAGATTCTGGAATTTAACCACGTCAGCCGCAGCAGGATGTTATTTCTAGTTGCTTTTGCCCTCTCCCCATCTCACCTAATGCTCCATTCAGGTTCTGGAAGATCCGGCATCTCTGATCTAGGGTGATGTTGATATTTTCCTTTAAAAGAATGAAATAAAGAACCTCATTTAGAAGACACAGAGGCAAACAGATGGGTCTTGCCAGCTCTTCCACCCCTCTTATTGCCCCTCCCTTCACTGCAGAAAACACTATAAACCCAGCTTCTCTTATTTTCCAAATCTTCCATGGATTTGTCCCAACCTCCAGACTTAGGGCAGGTCCTTAGCTGCTAGAAATCAGATTAATTCCATTAACTTTAGCTCTCCAGGGCCTGGTCCTTACTAAACCAAGCAGATTGGCTTCAGGTATAGAACTCTAGGAATGCAAAATGCGTAGCTGGAGTCAGCTTACCTTAAGCTGAGCTGTGGCAGCATCCACACAGTAGGAGACCAATGAGAGAACACTCTATATTAGACGTGCTACATCCAATGCTAGACGACTGACCTCTAGAGGGTCAAACTTCTCGCTAGTGCAGACATGCCCTAGTAGTCTTGATCCTGCTACCTCTAATCATCTGGCACAAGCTGATGTCTGACCCTTTCCCAGTCTCACCAGTGCCAGCGCAAGAGCCCTGTTCACTCTGTCTCCTGATACCTGGAACAGCCTTCTCCACCTGCAGTGGCTGTTTTGTCTCTTTTCAGATCCCATATGAAAGTAATAACTCTCCTTGCCTAGGCCTCTTCATGTTTCCCTCCGTGGCCTACTGCTGATCTATTTCTCCCACTTTTGAATACAGCTTGCATGAAAGACCATGTGCTACATACAGTTGTAGTGTATCATCCGATCACTAGCATGTCCCACAGGCTCCAAAAGCTGAAAGAATCCTGTGATCCCCAGTTCTACCTGAACCTTAGCAGTTCTCCCTTTCCTAAAATACCACCCCCATGACCTAGCTCTAACATGGTGTTTTTCAGCATTAGATCTCAAAGTAGGGATGTAAGCGACTAGTCGAGTCACTACTTGACTACTCCTTTCCCCCCACCTTGCTGCCTCTGTATCAGAGGCAGCAAGACAGGGTTGCAGGTAGCCAATCTGCAAGGGGAGCGGATTTTTAAATGGCTCCCCTCATGGACCAGCTCTCTCCCGGCACCCCACGCTGCTGCCTTGGATAGAGATGCAGCAGCATCGGGTGGCAAGGGGCTCCTTCGGAGCAGGGCCAGAGTGCACTGCCTGCCGGCCCCACCCCCCCGGGACTTGGGAACTGGAGCTGCCCAGTTCCAGCTTGTGCTGGGTCCCTGACCCACCCCCGCTGCGGCTCTGCAGTTTAAATATAGTAGAAGCAGGCAGTCTGCACTCTGGCTCCTACTACATTTAAAATACAAAGCCACAGCGGGGCCCCTTATCAACTAATTGTGTAGTCAATACAAATTGTATCAACTACATGCTTAGTCAATTACCCGCTTCTTAACATCCTTATCTCAAAGGGCTCTCCAGAGGTGGTCAGTTTCACTAGCCCCATTTTACCGAATAAAGTTTTTATATTAAATTAAGCAAAACCAGAGAACCTGAACAGCTTCAAGCTTCACAGGACATGAAAAGAAGTCAGATAATCACTCTGTTGGAAATATGCCTGCCTGCCTGCCTAACAGTATGTAACTATAACTCTGTTGCATCTGACAAAGTGGTTTGTACCCACAAAAGCTTATGCCCAAAAAATTACAGACTAACAAGGTTACCCGTCTAAGACCAAAAAAATCTGTTAATCTTTAAGGTGCCACAGGACTTCACAGATCAGTCTGTATCTGCTATATTTTTGCAGATATAGACTAACAAGGCTACTCCTCCAAGTATGTAACTTGTCATAATATAGCCAGAAGTGCAGGTAGGGCATAAATACTGTTCCAGTAAATCTCTAGCTTCCATCTATATTGCAGTGATACATGGCTTAAGATTAGGTGGCAGAGGTTGTATTTATACCAGGCTGCTTCAAACCACACTGCACTTGGATTTGTCAGTCCTACTCAAACCCAGGTCTGACTTAACAATTCACTGCCCCTCCACACATCATGTAAAATACAGTAGAATAAGGTGCAGAGAGGACGAATGGATGGAACAGATTTTGACAGCAATGTCTACAGAATTATTCCAAACCTCTGGTTTGACTTTGTGCCAGGACTTCAGTGGAGATTATTAAAAAGAAGCTATCATGTGGATCGGATTCAGACCTGGAGATAAGCAAGGGGCAACTCCATTGGCTTCTCTTGCCTTTTTTTATTTCTCTCAGCTTGGCTACTAAAAACAAGTGCTTTCACTTTCACTTTTCTTTATAGTCACAATTTTCACTTCTTGGTTTCCATGCTCTTGCACAACCCTGCAATGTTTGGGTCATGAGCACTCTCCTAGGAGAATGGTTATCGGTTCGAAGAGAATAAGCCTTTTATATGTTATGACAGTACTGCCGTTGGTATTAAGTGACATGGACCCTTGTTTTAAAAACACCACCTTCTAGGTCAAATTGATATGGCAGCGATCCTTTACAGACCAAAATCGCAAGGACGGTACAGTGGATGCATCTACAAGGATGCACAGCCGCATAAAAATAATGGGTAACTGTACACATAGCAACATTTCCATGTGCCAAGGCCAGTGTAATCATTACTGGAGCATGAAAGAGACACCCAGGGGACCATCCAAAGAAGAAGGAAAAGGGCAAACACAGGAAAAAACAGCTGGGACCATCGGCTCCTAAGTGGTCAGCCTCCTTTGCAGCCAGCTGGGATGTTGCATGGGGGCTGGGTAGGCTCAGCACCAGCAAGTGTGGATGAAACAGAAATGGTAAAAATGAAGAACACACTGCAGGCCCCACAAAGGGTGCAGGATACCAAGGATCACTGGCACGGGCCAGAGGTAGCACCCAACCCCTCCTAAACTCCAACCCTTACTCCCACATACCCTTTTTTCTGGATCCAAGAAGATATTGGTGTAAAAGAGCTGGTCGCTATCACTGTCAAGTCCCTTCCAATCCTCCACAAGCTTGTTTAGGTTAGGAGCATAACCTATGAAACCTGGGGGAACAAGGCAAAGGATGAAGGGAGTCGGTGTCTCAATCCAGCCAGCCTGGAAGGGAAAATTCTCAGGGACTCATATATGGACAATGTCTCAGCCCCCTGTATGTTCCAAGGGGACATATTCACAGTCTGAATCCCTTGCCTTGCACTGTAGCACAGATCGCACAGTTTCCAATCGCTGGCTACGTCTACACTGGCCCCAAATTCCGGAAAAGGGATGCAAATCAGGTAAGTCAGCATAGGAAAATCCGTGGGGGATTTAAATATCCCCCGCGGATTTAAATAAACATGTCCGCCGCTTTTTTTCCGGCTTGGGGAAAAGCCGGAAAAAAGCGTCTAGACTGGCCTGATCCTCTGGAATAAAGCCCTTTTCCGGAGGATCGGTCCAGTCTAGATGCTTTTTTTTCCGGCTTTTCACTCTCCCCTGCCATGGATCATCACTGGGGACAGAAGCCTGACTCTTCAGCATCCGATACACAGAGACATGGAACGTGAGCTAAAGGAGCAGAGCCGCTCGCTAAGAGTAAGTTGCCGGTTCTTATCCTCTACGTGGGCTGCAGTCACCGGAGGGAACCATGTTTGCCAGTGTACGTGCTATGAACGTGGTCTCCGTTCCCTCCTACAGGCTGAACCTCCCTTGCCCGGCACTCTCAAGACTGGAGTGGTCTCGAACAAGGGAATTTGCCTGACCAGCAGGGGTCAGGCATCCAGGCTCTCCCGGGGCTCCCCTCCTGGCAGCTGTCCCAGGAGACCCTGGAGACCTGACCTCCTCCAGCCCACCTGCCTGGGTCTGCTGCCCCCAGCCTACTCGTGGGGCTCTTCTCTCTGCCCCCAGAGCAGCAGCTGCTCCCAGGGGTTCCCTGGCCCCGCACGTGGTGGCAGCAGCTGCTCCCGGAGGGTCCCTGGCCCCGCAGCTGCTCTTGAGGGTTCCTGGACCCCGTTAGCTGCAGTGGCAGCAGCTACGCCTGGGGAATTCCCCAGCCCTGCTCGCTGCGGCAGTTGCTCCCAGGAATTCCCCAGTCCTGCTCGCTGCAGTGGCAGCAGCTACGCCCGGGGAATTCCCCGGCCCTGCTTGCTGCGGCAGTTGCTCCCGGGGGATTCCCCGGCCCTGCTCGCTGCAGTTGCTCCTGGGGGTTCCCCTCCCCCCCGTGCGGTGGCAACAGCTCGTTGCAGCAGCAGCTGCTCCCAGGACACTCTGCCCCCAAGTCACTGCCGCTGCAGGCTGCCCGTGACCAAACCGGCTCCGCTCCCAGCCGTTCTCAACCTCCGAGGCTGGGGCTCTCTGGTCTAGCAACATCTGTGATCCTGCCGGACCCTGGATGTTGCTGGACCAGAGAGTCCCGGACGAGAGAGGTTCAACCTGTAATACTTTTCCGACCCGACCGCCCCCGCTCACGTTCTTCTCCAAAGCCCCCCTGCAATGGTAACACACAGCTGGGAGATGCTGAGCTGCCTCTTACCTCCGGAACCTAGGAAGCGCTTCCCATCTCGCACCTGCGAGTACTTGGCTTCCAGCTTCCGGTCAGGGTAGACAAAGGTCTCTGCTGAGAAAACCACCTTGCTCTTGGCCTGTTTGAACTTCTTCAGCAGCTCTGCGGGGCCCGAGGCAAAGAGCACGTCATAGCTACCGGAGGAACAGCAGACCGAGGAGAACAGAAAGGAACGGAGTCAAGAGAACAGTGTGAGAAACAGCAGATGGGCTAGGAGTCCCTTGCTTTTAACCTCGCACTACAACATTACAATCCCTGCAGTCACAAGAGACCTCGGTACGGTACAATCATAGCCCCATGGAATCCCCAGCACTGGGGCTACATCTACACTGGCATGATTTTCCGAAAATGCTTTTAACGGAAAAGATTTCTGTTAAAAACATTTTCGGAAAAGCGCGTCTAGCTTGGCAGGACGCTTTTCCGGAAAAGCACTTTTTCCGGAAAAGAGTCCGTGGCCAATCTAGACGCGCTTTTCCACAAAAAAGCCCTGATCGTCATTTTTGCGATCGGGGCTTTTTTGAGGAAAACACTACTGTGCTGTCTACACTGGCCCTTTTCTGGAACAGTTTTCTGGAAAAAGACTTTTGCCCGAACGGGAGCAGCATAGTTTTTCCGGAAAAGCACTGATGATTTTACATTAGATCGTCAGTGCTTTTCTGGAAATTCAAGCAGCCAGTGTAGACAGCTGGCAAGTTTTTCCAGAAAAGCGGCTGATTTTCCGGAATAACTTGCCAGTCTAGACACAGCCTGGGGGTTTTAAGAACAGGTTGGACAAACCCCATCAGGGACAGTCTAGATTTACAGGCAGGGAGCTGGACACGGTGACTTCTCGAGATCTCGTCTCGTCCTACTTTTCGATGGTTGGGCGGAATACGGTACTTGTTCCAAACTCACCTATTGTGGGTGACTAAAATGCTCAGCTCTCGGGTGGGTTGTTCCTTACATCCCTTAACAGCCAGGGGATTTACTTCTCCAGAGCTTTCCCTCCGTGTCTTTGGAGTCTGCAGCAGACCCCACATATTCAGCCCTCTCTTCTTTCTCCTCACAGCCGACTAGTCCTTAGCTACTCGCCTGGACATCTGCACCCCCTCACCCAGCAGATAGCTCCACTGGTAAAGGCCAGGCCAGAATGGCAGACTTGCCCACTGAACTCTTGGGGGCCAAACTCAGCCTGGCGTAAGTAGGCGGAACTCTATCAACCTTACACAAGAGTTGGATTTGGCCCATCGCACTGGGAGCTTCCCAGTATTTAACATCAGCAACCCGTCTGGTACAGGGAATCCCAGTGAACAGGAGTCAGGAGGCCTGGACACATCTTCCCCAACCAGCCTCCCGCAGGGTTAATGACCCACTGTTAAGAACCTGCCTCACGGCTCAACTCACAGCAATCCCCTTCGGCCCCACCTACCTCTCTGTGAAGAGGATGATCAAGTCCTCCTTGTCCTCATGCTGCTTCAAAGCTGACTTCAAGAGACGGACCTTCTGCCCACCTCCTGCTGCCTTCTTGTCATCCTCCCCATGCCACTCCTCCTCCAGCCCCAGCACCTAACGGGTTACAAGGTATCTTTTGACAAAGGGTTCCCCCTACTCACGCAAGGGCCTGTTTTCTCAGCATGAGTCAGTGTAAGAAATGGTGTGGGAGAGCCAGGGCTGGCTCGAGCCATTCCTGCGCCCCGGGCAGCAGGCGCGCGACCCCGCCCCTGGGCGCATGGCGCATGCACAGCCCCGCCCTCCGGCACGCTGCGCCCCTTACAGCTGCAATTGGGCTGCGCAGTGCCTGATTGCAGCTCTAAGGGGCGCTGCGCGGCCCCCGATGCGTAGCGCCTGACTGCAGCTCTAAGGGGCGCTGCGCGGCCCCCGATGCGTAGCGCCTGACTGCAGCTCTAAGGGGCGCTGCGCGGCCCCCGATGCGTAGCGCCTGACTGCAGCTCTAAGGGGCGCTGCGCGGCCCCCGATGCGTAGCGCCTGACTGCAGCTCTAAGGGGCGCTGCGCGGCCCCCGATGCGTAGCGCCTGACTGCAGCTCTAAGGGGCGCTGCGCGGCCCCCGATGCGTAGCGCCTGACTGCAGCTCTAAGGGGCGCTGCGCGGCCCCCGATGCGTAGCGCCTGACTGCAGCTCTAAGGGGCGCTGCGCGGCCCCCGATGCGTAGCGCCTGACTGCAGCTCTAAGGGGCGCTGCGCGGCCCCCGATGCGTAGCGCCTGACTGCAGCTCTAAGGGGCGCTGCGCGGCCCCCGATGCGTAGCGCCTGACTGCAGCTCTAAGGGGCGCTGCGCGGCCCCCGATGCGTAGCGCCTGACTGCAGCTCTAAGGGGCGCTGCGCGGCCCCCGATGCGTAGCGCCTGACTGCAGCTCTAAGGGGCGCTGCGCGGCCCCCGATGCGTAGCGCCTGACTGCAGCTCTAAGGGGCGCTGCGCGGCCCCCGATGCGTAGCGCCTGACTGCAGCTCTAAGGGGCGCTGCGCGGCCCCCGATGCGTAGCGCCTGACTGCAGCTCTAAGGGGCGCTGCGCGGCCCCCGATGCGTAGCGCCTGACTGCAGCTCTAAGGGGCGCTGCGCGGCCCCCGATGCGTAGCGCCTGACTGCAGCTCTAAGGGGCGCTGCGCGGCCCCCGATGCGTAGCGCCTGACTGCAGCTCTAAGGGGCGCTGCGCGGCCCCCGATGCGTAGCGCCTGACTGCAGCTCTAAGGGGCGCTGCGCGGCCCCCGATGCGTAGCGCCTGACTGCAGCTCTAAGGGGCGCTGCGCGGCCCCCGATGCGTAGCGCCTGACTGCAGCTCTAAGGGGCGCTGCGCGGCCCCCGATGCGTAGCGCCTGACTGCAGCTCTAAGGGGCGCTGCGCGGCCCCCGATGCGTAGCGCCTGACTGCAGCTCTAAGGGGCGCTGCGCGGCCCCCGATGCGTAGCGCCTGACTGCAGCTCTAAGGGGCGCTGCGCGGCCCCCGATGCGTAGCGCCTGACTGCAGCTCTAAGGGGCGCTGCGCGGCCCCCGATGCGTAGCGCCTGATTGCAGCTCTAAGGGGAGCCGTGCGGCTGGGTGCACGGTACCTCTTACAGCTGCCATCAGGCATAGGTTGGTGCCCCGGGCAGCTGCCCGGCTAGCTCCCCCCTTAATCCAGCCCTGGGGAGAGCCAGTTGCCAGAGAAATTCACAGCTACTTCACTGTTAGCCTCTGGTGAGACTCAAGGCAAGGAGCAATAGCAATGTGGGGTGTGGAGAAGCTCTGTTACACCCACCCTGGCCTCTCCCAATGGGCTGGCGCAGGTTGACACACAAGTACTGCATGCCATCCTCTGCCACGGGGCATCACCATGAGCCAAGGTGCAGGAGAGATGGTGGCGAAGAGCTTTCACGGGTGTCTCTCTGCTGAAGCCCTGGGGGCAATGATCAGGG